CGGGTGCCGCTGGCAGCCAAGCTGGTGGATCTGCCCTGCATCACCGAGAGCTTAAAAACCATTGACAAGAAAACCTTCTATAAGACTGCGGATATTTGCCAGGTATGAGCTGTCCTTCTTGCCTGCCCCAACAGCTTAATTCCTGGCTCCCCTCTCCAGGAAAACCCTTGTACACTTTGGTGGACACCCAGTATAACAAAGCCAATTTCTGTGTCCTCACAGTATTACTAGTTTAAAATTCCCCACTCCTCTTGGTGTTTAGAAATCCCATTTCTGAAGCATGAGATGTCATTGTCCTTGTAACAGCTTCACTGCTGCTGTGTGTAGATGTGAACCGAGCTGAGTGAGAAACATTCTCACTCAGGTCTTTCTCATACCTCGTACCCGTGATTCCCTTTGGCTCACAACATGCAGTGGGCGGTCACTGCAGAAAAGGTTTCACAAGCTGTCCTTGTGTTGCAATAAACGTGTTTATGCGGGGATTCCAGATGCTTGTTTGCACTGTGGATGGTGATCTCTACCCCCCTTTGGAAGAGCAAACTGTGAGCACTGACCCCAAGGCAAACAAGAAGAAGGACAAGGACAGAGAGAAGAAATTCATCTGGAACCATGGCAGTGAGTAGAGGCTTGTGCCAAACCCCTCCATCCCATCACTCCAGTGTCCCCACAGCTGTCACTCACCGCTGCTGGGTCCTGGCAGTGCTGCTGCTCCGGTTTCAGTGCTCTGTGGTGCCGAAGGGATCTTCTCCCTTGTAGCATGCAGCTCTCCCATTAGGCCTTTCTGCCTGACACGTGCAACCTCTTTCCTCTGTCACAGTCACTCTTCCCCTGAAAAATGTACGGAAGAGACGATTTCGGAAGACAGCCAAGAAGAAGGTGAGTCTCTTCTTACGTGGATGCAGATGGAATAACCAAGGGATAGGAAACAGAGACATTAGAACTGTAACTGCCTATTAATCCAGAAAACATGTAATTTCTTAACACTGCTTCACATGTTTCCTTGCCAGAGGTGAGGGTGAAGGGAAGGTTGTAGATTTAAACACTTCTTTGGGTGCTTCCTCCATGTTTTCCAAGATGCTTCTGAGAGAAGAATCCTCTATGTGGAGAACTCCTGGCCTGCGTTCCTGTGGCTGCTTTGCCATAGCGCATCTCTTCCTGTCATAGAGAAAAAAGGAAGACTCACAGGGAATGAGGCTTCACTCATTCCTTCTTTCCCAGCTGAAATCTCCTCTCTGTGCATGGCCTGTTCCTTCCCCAAGCAGCAACACCACAAATAGAATAACTGTCATGTCAGCTGGGGGAGTGACAACAGATGGAGCTCAGAGACTCGTCTCTGGGCATATGCACAAGCCAGGCAAGGTGTTGAGGAGATGCAGCACCCTGAGGCTGGGAAGACTTCTTCTCTGCTTTGCCGTTTCTGGGAACAGGATGGAGTGCTATTTTGCAGGACATTTGGGAAACAAATTACTTGAGACATAGCCCACAGGAGAGATTTGATGTCACTGCATTAAGATTCCTGGCTAATTTTAAAGAGAAAAATGAAATCTTGTGAGTGAGATGGGAAGAAGTTGAGTTGACCCTCCATCAGAAAACAGCACTTCAAGGACTTCCTAGATTGCTTTCTGGAGGTGCACAAATTACTTTTAGGGTAAGCGTGAGCAAAGGCTGAGCAGAAGGCGTAGGAAAGCCTTGAAACAGGGCTCTGTAGAAGCGGAGAGTTGGAGTTGATCAGCACCAGCAGCCTGCACAAGGCATTTAACAGTGTCCCTGTTCTCTTTTCTCTTCTCTGGCCCAGTATATTGAGTCTCCTGATGTGGAAAAAGAGGTGAAGCGTCTCCTGAGCACAGATGCTGAAGCTGTCAGTGTCCGTATCCTTTTAGGAGGAAAAAAAAAAAAGCTGAAGTGGGGGCCAGGACACTGTGTGTGACCTGGGGGCTGTGGAGAGGAGAGGCAAGTTCAGCTTTGTGTGTGCGTGTGAGAGACTGGGAGGTAAGCATGCAAGGGGCACCGAAGTTTTGGAGTTTCCTCTTTGCCTTGTTCAAAGCTCGTTGTTTCTGCGTGGTGACCTTTCTTGTGGACTGCACTATGGTACTGAGCAGGACCTTAGGTACCAGCAGAGGAGAAGTCCCCAAAAAAGGGGGCTGGGGTGGTTCGTCCTGAATATCTGTAGCTGCGAGGCCAGTCTTGGAAGGGGCAGTGAGCTCCTGCCGTTTTTAGCATTCTTTCATCATACTGCATCTTTCACATTCCTCTATTCCCCTTGACTCGTCTGTTCCTGCTGTCAGGCTGGGAAGTCATTGCTGAAGACGAAACAAAAGAAGTAGACAACCATGGTTCGCTCACCAGCCTGGACATCTCCTCCCCTGGGATGTCGGGACATAAGCAAGGCCACGGCTCCTCAGGTGTGGTGGGGAAGGCTGTTGGTTTCTTTCTAGCCACTAAGCCATCAGTTGGACCCATTCTCTCTGTGCTAAGCCCTAACCAGAGTGAAGAAGAGAGGGCGTCGAGATGGGTTCCCTGTACTCCTGTCCCTGGCAGGCAAAGGCTGCTGGATGTTCATCGGGTGTGTTTTTCCTCTTCCCTTTTGCACCTCCTTAGAACATGATGAACTGCGGGAGATATTTAATGACATCAGCAGCAGCAGCGAAGATGAAGACGAGAGGGATCATCATGATGACGAAGACCTGAACATCATGGACACTGAGGAGGACTTGGAGAGGCAGCTGCAGGACAAGCTGAATGAGTCCGATGGGCAGCAACAGGAGAACGAGGGGTCCAACCAGATAGGTGAGTGGGAGGGAGAGCGCAGCAGAATCACCGGGTGTCAGACAGGCTGCGCTGCCCAGCTCTGCTGCTGCTCTGGCTCTGAGCTTGCTCTCTCTTCCAGTCATGGGCATCCAGAAACAGATTGATAACCTGAAAAGTAAACTCCAGGAGACCCAGGACAGGAGGAAGCGCCAGGAAGATCTCATCATGAAAGTGGAGAACCTGGCCCTCAAGGTGAGAGCTCTCCTGGGGTCTCTTCAAGTCATCTGCATAGCACTGGCTTGCCATTAGGTCCAGCCTACTGACTCAGCTGCTGCCCTGGAAAAGCCAGAGGCCTTTGCCTGCTGGGTTAAAAATAATTGTGGCGTTACCATACACACTCCAGCAGTTCCCCAGGGAGGCAAAGCAAAAAAACTGCAGGAGACAAGGGAGCTGGTTGTTGGTGCAGCTTGGGACGTGCTGCACTGCTTGACGTGTTGTGCCAGCTCCCGTTCAGCTGAGAACACGCTGGTAACTGCGGTCTGGCATGTTTGTCTCCACAGACCCGGCTCCAGGCTGTGCTGGATGAGTTCAAGCAGCAGGAAGAGCGAGAGAAGCAGCAGGTGAGGAACGTCCCGCAGGGGAGTGGGATGCGACACGGTTCTCGGCTCAGCCTCTGACAAAGCTTCCTAAATCTTGTACCACCCCAGCGGCTTTGAACGCTAGGGTTACAGGTCAGGTGTGGCCGTAGCTCACCTGTCCTTGCACGGAGCTTCCCGAGGCCCCAGGAGATAGAGGATAGGGTTGTTGGCAGCGAGGCAAAGCGTGTCTATGAGCAGTCCAGGGCTGCAGGGTTGCTGCCTGTGGCACGTTAAGGCAGAGGTCACTCAAGTGCGCATTCACCGTCCTAGGAGTCGCTCTCTCCCCACACAAGCGTGGGACAGATCCCACTAACACCCACGTAGGCAGGAGCAGACAGGCGGTAGCTGCGGGGTCTTGGCAGATTGCCTGCCTGGGCAGCTTTGCTGAGTTCCAGCCACGTGCCAAGGCAGGAAGTTCCCACTCCCGGGTTCCTGTTGTTTGGCTTCGTGTTGCGGACAGTGCTGCGTTCTGCCCCAGAGGAGCCCGGGCAGAGCGCCCTGCGGTGGGCAGCCGAAGCAGCCACTGGTGTAGGTGGAAGATCCATGGAAACACTCAGGCTGGAGCTGCCAGGAGTCTTAGCTGTGCTTTACTACAATGCCTCATTCCCTCTTCCCAGATGACGTCCCTGCAGGAGCAGCTGGAGTCCCTCATGGAGAAGTGAGGAGCAGGCCTGCGTCCTTGTGCCTGTGCAGAGAGCTGGGAGTGGTGTTCATCTGCCAGGCTGAACAGTCGCACACCTCTGCTCCAGATGTGCTGCCTGGCAGCGCGGGAGGCTCCGTCTCCGGAGCTGCTCTCACATACATTGTGCTGGGCTTGGCTGAGTGGAGCTGAAGCACTGGACTGTGTGAGGGCAGCCCAAACCGGATTTACTGTAAATATGCAGCACTGGTCCGCGGGAGGGGTTCAGTTCTCCCTAAAAACGTGGTGCAGCTTTCTGCATCTTACCCAGTCTTGGACTTGATGGGCTGTGTCCTGGTAGGGGCTTTTTCTTGTGTTTGGGGAATGCTTGTGTCTGCAGAGACTCAATAAAGTACTGTTTCTGACCTGTCCCTCTGCGGCCTCCACCAACTCTTGTGCCTGACCCCACCGCCCCGGGCCGGAGCTCGCCCCAGCACTGCTGGGCTCCTTCGGAAACGCGCCTTGCCTGGCTGTGACGGAGGCTGCGTGCGAAGGGGACCCCCGGGCTGTCACGCGGGGGTAAGAAGGAGGCCTTCCTCAGCAGGGAGTTTCTTTAATTCCTCACAGACTCGGCAGGCAAATCCCAGATTAACCTGGCAGGGTGGGAAGAGGATTAGAAAGGCAGTTCCAGGACGTAACGGAGGACACCGTGGGCTTCAGCGAGGGTGTGCAACAGTGGGACACCCCTCTGGCAGGGCAGGGGAAGGGGAGAAGGCTTCCAAGCTCTGCTCCCAGCACGGAAAGCAAAAGGCTAGCAGCAGCCCTGGGAGATGACGTGTGTCAGATAGTCAGGAAGGGGAGATACCCTGAGGAAGACACGGAGCTCGGAAAGGGCCAGAGCACGCCTGTGCGCCTGTGACCTGCTCCTGGGGGCAGGAGGAGCAGCCATGGAGGAAACC